TTATAAATCGCTTTATTACGCAAAAGCATAAAACCTTTTGGACGTAGCAACCATAACTACGGAGTGTCGGAAGTATGAATTACATATTGTATGCAAATTCATCATGCTTTTTATCGTCTAGCGATCGAGAGTTTTGACTTCGAAAGGACAACCTTAATAACTGAATTAGCTGTATATGCAGCAGTGAGCATTATGTCAATTTTGATCCATTAATTTCTTCGGCTTGTTAGATACGGTTTCATCCAGGTTCGATGGAACCAGTAACTGTACGCAAAGATTTCCAACTTGAGGTCATGCATTTCTAAATGACCATTTCTAGTGAACGATACTTAACTTTTTTAGTGTATAATCTTCAGAGATTCAAGTGCACACATATAATTCGAATACATTGCAGGAAATGCCCTTTCAGAGAGCCTAGATTACAAAATTTTATGTGAGTGCATGCCCTAAACTCCTCTAGAGGTTTGTTTTACCTATAAGCTGCCTTTTATTTGCCAAGACGAATATTGGATATGATAGAACTTGTAAACTATTTTCGTCATGTGAACTATTTTTAAATTTAGTGACAATATCGCACCTTTCCATCTACATCCCAGTTTGTATCCAGTACTCCTTCTCTTATCTCGTCTTCATCCTTCAGCTATGGATGGCAATGATTCCACATTAAACATGGCTGCTTTCATACCATATGTTTTAAGGTGAATGATTTACCACTAAAATATTCTATGATGTCTTTTAAATTGTAAGTACGCTACTAAGTTTATAGCAGCCGAACCATAGATATCTTATATACACTAGATAGTGCATCTAATTATTCTGCACTTCAAAAATTGAAGCCGTGATTGCAGTCTCAGGTCGTTCCCATGAAATGAGAAGATTCATATGTTTTCTATTTCTTAAACAGGGGACTTAAACATTAAGTTAACCCTATTCCAAATACGTTTTTAAACTATTCAAAGGATGAAAGTTATTGTTGTTTTTTAAGCGTTTATTAGCAAGTGGGAACGACCAACATGGCCGCTACCTATTCAAATGGGGGTAACCGCTGGAATATTCTTGGCTTCAATTTTACTAAAAGAGATGCGCTATCTAGTGTATATAAGATATCTATGAGCCGAACCGACAAGCAATTGCAAATGTAAATACAATCGAATTTAGTCGAACTACAGTTAGCTGTTCACCATGCAGTTGAACTTCAGTTTCAAACAAATGATAACCGGATAATCATACCTCAGCACGAATTAGGCCTGTTGTAGTTTGCTTAATGCTGTTTGGGTCATTCGTACTTTAAAGAATGACTTGGCCTCCATGGAATACAAAAATGCCGAATTTCACAATTAACAAGAATGACTTTATTTAAATTTCAACGTACAACAGTAATTTGTTTCATCAATGATTTAATGATGGAATAACGATAACTTCAAGGCATCATCTCCTCAGAAAGAGAATGATGCGGCCTGGTAACTAGCCAGATCTCAACCCAATTGAGCATCTTTGGGACCACCAAAAGCACACCGGCTAATTTGGGCTCAATTGTTGCAGGAGGAATGTATGGCTATATCTCAACGGTGGGTGAGCAGACCATGCCTTGAGGTGGTCGAGAAGCGTGCATGGTGGTTACACCCATTATTAAATCATTGATGAAACGTTGTTGTGAAATTTAAATAAAGTCATTCTTGTTAATTTTGAAATTTGGGTATTTTTGTATTCAATGGAAGTTAAGTCATAAGTCATTCTTTAAAGCATGCATGAATGACCCACACAACATTAAGCAACTACCATAGGTCTAATTAGTGCTAGGTTTGAGTATCAGGTAATCATTTATTTAAAACTTATTTAAAACTTATATATATTTAGGAGGAAACTTTCTTTTTGTGTGGTGTTTATATTATTCTGTCTTCAATGTCACTTTCTGTGCTTTTTTGAGCTCACTCTTTCCCAACTATTTTGTGTTTCAGGTGTTCGAAGAGTTGCGTTCTCAAGACTCGTGCTATGGCCGCCCGTGCGCTTGTGCCTCTGGTGTCTGGTGTAGCTTTGCAGGATATGCTGAAAAATCTTATTGAAAATTTGCCACAATCATGCACTAAAAGGTAGGTAAACTTTGTTTAAGAAAAAGAAAACTAGTGAATAATAGGTGAGTATTCTTGCCCTATTCACCAACACTGAGGTGAATAATTGTTTTAGCATATGCCATAGCAAAACAAATTAAAATGGTCATAGCAAAACAAAAACGACCAAAAAGCAACACAAATATTTTTAAAACAATTTGTATTGCAGCTCCCAGCCTCCCATAATAGTTGTAAACAAAACAGTGTATGTATTTAAAGCTTTTAGTAATTTTATTCATTACACTGTAAATTTCAAGGAGTTAAATCAACTCGGAAAGTGTTGTTCTGTTACCACAGAAATAGAATACATCTACACACTGTTAAACAAAACTTTGTGACTTTCTTCGCGTTTGGCAAAACTGCAAATTTTACACAAGTTCATTTGTGTGTGAACATTATGGTCGCTACCAACCTATATGAATGGGCTTGGTTGATCATAAATTACAAAAGACAGTGGACTATATTAATCATCTTTCTATAAGTAGTAGTTAAAACATGAGCAGCCGATCTTTATCTGATATACAAACTCGAGCCGAAGGTGAGACCCATCTTATGAGTTCATCGGCGAAGTAATTTTAAAAATAAACATTGTCTAAGCCGAGAAAATCAAAGCTGAAGTTTATGTAAATCAGAACAAATCTTTATCCGATTTACAAACATTGATCAAACATTCATTTCTTTTGAAATTTCTTCAGGAATTATTAATGAGTATTTTAAAGAGTCATACACACTGATCACTATTGTTTCATAAAGCCAATTACAAAACACGATCATTCATTTACCCGAACGTCTTATCATCGATTGTAAAGTGTATACATGGACTACTTAACTTTTTGATTGTTTTAAATTTGTTCAAAATGTATTTTCTCGAATTTTTACAACAAATTAATGGTTTAGAACTGTAATTCTGTAAACATTTATTTAAAAGTGCACGTTTGGTTTATTTAGAAATACTGATAAAAAATAGAAATGCATGTTATAAAATGTCTCTTGGTTGAAGTAAAACAGCATATTTTCATGAATCCAATGTAATTAAATTAAATTATTAAAAAGGCGCAGTGTACATTACAGCATGTAGACCTCTCTTTATCCTTTGTCTTCATATATTTCTTACTGTAGTTTTCTTCAACTTTCTTTCTTTATCCGCTGATTCCTTCTCTTTCACTTTACTTCCCGTTTCCCCTCAAATTTCTCTTGATATAGCCTTTTCAAATATTCTTGTAAATTGTATTATATACATGCCACAACACTATACGGTGATGTGTGTATCCTGGCTAAATATAAAGATAAAAATAATAACAATAAATCAGTTCCATTTCTCATGCAAATATTTTCTTCTCTTATAGTGTCAAACAGAATCAAGTCCATGGCTGTCTATTACAGGTTAATATTTCATTATATTGTTGTATGTACATGTTATTAGAATATACTAGGTTTGTACAACTAATGGCCAGTATGTGATATTGAACAATTAGCCTTTCTCACGCTGCCATTTTTGGGTGGCATTTCAGCCGAGGTCTGCGAGATAAGTCCACATAACAGCGACTTTTTGTAATTTTTTGGACGAATGATGGTAAATCTGTTTTGCAAATGGTTAGTTTATTTTGAAAAATTGCTTTTCACATTGGTTTAATTGTCTGCATTGGTTAACAAGAATTAGATGGCACCCAAAAATGGCGGATATTCGTCATCGTGAGAAATGCTAATTGCGACTTTTAAGATCACTTCTTTATTTTGTTTTAGATACGAGAACTGTTAAACAGCGCGTCCACTAACGTGGCTCTCTCCAACCGAACGAAGGAAGATATTTACACGAGCATTGTTCCTTTATTATCAAAACGTGTTTGGCTGGCTTTCAGGTATGGTGAATCATGAACCGTGACTTATTTCAAGGAATTAAAATTACCCTGCCTTTTATCACGTACGTACCAGAAAAAACAGGATCAGGTGTATATAATTTGTTATCCTAAAGTAGCGATCGATTAACACAATTTAAGATAACATATTAATGGTGATTCCAGTTATAGACTAAATTTTGATCAAGGCAAGAAGAAGGAAATCCAACACCACAGCTAGAAAGAGCGTCTTAGAACGAGTAAAACTGCAATGATTGGTTTCTAAATGTTGTAAAATGAAGAAAATATAGCCCTGTGAAGTTCACAAATTGTGTATATAGTTGTATTACGCGCGGTAAAATAACCACTTTCGGCTCAAAAATGGTTCTTTTTCACGCGCGTAATACAAATATATACAAAATTTGCGAACTTCACAGGACTATATTTTCCTCATTTTACAACAATTCCCAACCAAACTTCGCAGTTTTACTTATTTTTAAGATTCTTTTTCCAGCTATGGTAATGGTTTCGTTCTTCATGTCTAGATCAAACTTTCGTTTATTTCTGCCAAATATTTCTAGTAACATTCGATCTTATGAGGGATATTTAAGGTCGCGTGTTTCGTGGCAAGAATGTTATGATCGATTAGATCAAGAGCTTTGCGAAAATCGAAAAGGACAACTCTTGTGTGTGGGCCATTTCCATCAGTATCTTTTGTCCATTTATTGAACGTGGTGATAAGAGCGAAAGTTGTGGAGGACTTGGGGGTGGCGCCGAATTGTTTTTTCTTGATTTTGGAACAAAATCGCTGGTTCCACATGTTCCTGAACGACAAATTCTTCCGTAATTTTTGACATAATTGGTGTCAGTGAAATTGGACGCAGGTCTTTGTTTATGTCTATTCGTGGGTTTTCTTTGCGATTGGCACTATGTCAGCTGTTTTCCAGGTAGGAGGGAGGCAGCCTTCGTGATAAGAGCTGTTAAGGATGTCTGAAACAGGGTTAGCCAATAGATCAGCGTTCTCTTTGAGTAACCAGGCCGGGATATTATCAGGGATTTGTGTTTTGGTGGAGTTCAAAGTCGATAACTTCTTATAAACTGAGTAGGATGAAAAAACTATCAGTGATGTCACCACAGAGTCATTAAAACTGGAAGTCGCTAATTGCTTGGAGATAGGAAAGCATCGTTGATGTTATCCGATATCAAATGTTTTGTGATATCAAATGTTTATTGATATCAAATTTTTCGTTCCGGAATGTGAATCATCCTTTCCTTAAACAAGTGATGGAGACATTAAAAAGGTTAATTCTTCCAAAAACGTTTTTGTATTTGCTTACAAGACAACTAATGTTTATCAGACTGATCTGGAATCTTATAAAGAACTACTGACATAAAACATTACAAAAACATATAAAATTCGTGATAGCAACAAAACAGATGATATCAATGGGGAGCTACGGGACATTACTAACAATCTTTCCATCTGAAATCTTGTTGATGTTATTGCCAAGCGTGACGCCTTCATTACAGCAATAAAAGATCACAAAGAAAAGTTCTCTTCCAATGCAAAATGTCGCCTCATTAATCTATCTAAAAGTGAACTTGGAAAAGTCAGTGAAGTCAACCTTGATAATATCAACAACAGACCTGGAAAAAGTGTTCAATGTTCCTCGGATCCTGAATTTGCCTTTTTCAAATGTTCGTCAATTATATTGGTTGTAAAATTGCTGAGCAAACAAAACAATCTTCAAATTCTATTAACAGGATATGAAGAACACTTCGCAATCTCAAAATAGACTCAAATGGCAGACAACTAAATACATGATTCCTTAAAATTCTCCCCTACAGTACGCGTAAAAAATTCAACATGTTCCTCAATCTTGTTGCTAAAGCAAATGTTCCTCAGGATCCCGAGATCCCACTTTTTTCCAGGTTTGATCAACAATAATATCCGATCTGCTATAAATGTTAAACATCGAAGGAAAACCAAACCATACATTTTTATCGTTTGACATAGTTGAATTTTACCCTTCCACCACAAAAGACAGACCAACTTCACCGCGCCATTGTTTGGCAGATCTTTAATAACCTTCCCAGAAGCTGATATTTCTGTAATCAAGCATGCGCAAAAATCTTTGTTGTTCAACAGCAACACAGCTTGGATCAAACGAAGTCGCGAAGTGCATTATTCGATGTAACGATGGGAAGCTTTGATGGAGCAGAAATCAGAAAATTAGTTGATTTGTTCGTTCTGAATAAACTAGCGGAAGAGTTTGGTAAGGAATAAGTAGGGCTATACCCTGCATTAATCGAAGGCGTAGACCGAAGGAATGCAGACAATGCAAGAAAGATCTTATAACATGTTCGGTCAAATTGGTTAACCATCACGTCGTCAACTTTCTGGATGTTACATTAAATTTGAAAAATGGAAGATACATGCAGACATTACAGAAAGCCAAACAATGCACCACTGTACGTTGACAGCCGATCAAACCATCCACCATCCTATCCTAAAGCAAATCCCTATCTCAGTCAACAGGTCTATTATGCATATACGGAGAAAATGTTGTCGAGTGAGATATCATAATTTCCATGCAGACCGCGCGCAAGAAGAAACTCTGCCCGCCGTGACTGGATTTCGAACCCACGACTTACGAATTACTAGATCCATGCTCTACGAAATAACTTCAGGGCGGATTGAAGACTGGAAATTATGAACTATTATATATATATATATATATATATATATATATATATATATATATATATATATATATATATATATATATATATATATATATATATATATATATGTATCTATATATGTATATATATATATATATATACGAGTGTCTCACGTATCTAGACGTGTACCAAGCTGCACTGACAAGGCGTTGAACGCCGAAATATGCATGTCTGCAGATTGTACTATATATATATATATATATATATATATATATATATATATATATATATATATATATATATATA